TTTAAGTTTTTACTATATGCATATAGGGAAAATCAATGACCCCCTGGGGCGGGGCCAATTTTGACCCCAGGGCTTTTATTTGAACAAACTTGGTAGACACTTACTAGAAGATGTTTCATGCCAAATATCTAAGCTCTAGCTCTTAGGGTTGTTTAAAAGAAGATATTTAAAGATTTTTCTTTCGGTTGCCATGGCAACCAGAGTTCTGCATGGAATTAAATTCTTTGAACAATTTTTAAAGGTGACCACCAAAGGAACATTCCTGTGAAGTTTGGATGAAATTGGCTCAGTGGTTTATGAGGAGATGTCATTTAAAGCAAAAGTTTACGGACGGACGACGGACGACGGACGGACGACGGACGGACGGACGGACGCCGGACGAAAAGCGATCACAAAAGCTCACCCTGTCACTTTGTGACAGGTGAGCTAAAAATAACAACAATGACGCAATTTCTAAAATTAGAAACTATGACGCAATTTCTAAAAATAGAAACTATCACGCAATTTCTAAAAATAACAACTATGACGCAATTTCTAAAAATTGAAACAATGACGCAATTTCTAAAAATAGCAACAATGACGCAATTTCTAAAAATAGAAACAATGACGCAATTTCTTAAAATATAAACTATGACGCAATTTCTAAAAATAACAACAATGACGCAATTTCTAAAATTAGAAACTATGACGCAATTTCAAAAAATAGAAACTATGACGCCATTTCTTAAAATAGCAACAATGACGCAATTTCTATAAATTAGCAACAATGACGCAATTTCTATAAAAATCAACAATGACGCAATTTCTATAAAAATCAACAATGACGCAATTTCTAACAAGAGCACCGCTAGGCGGAGCATATTATGCCCGAAAGTGTTTTTTTTTTTTTTAATAAGGATGAAGCATTTATAAGACATGGGAATTAGCTGTTCATCCTATAAAATTTTACAGCTGTAGGTTGATTAATACTTAAGTTATTAATAATGACCTTAACCTTTGACCTTTTGACCCCAAAATCAATAGGGGTCTTCTACCTTATATGGACAATCATCCTAAAAAGTTTGAATATTGTTGGCCAATTGGAACTTTAATAATGGTCTAGAAACAGTTTTCAGTATTAAGGTAAAAGTGACATTGACCTTTGACCTTGTGACCCCAAAATCAATAGGGGTCTTCTACCCAATATGGACAATCATCCTACGAAGTTTGAATATTGTGGGCCAAATGGAACTTACGTTATGCCTCGGAAACTGTTTTTGGTTTAAAGGTAATTGTGACCTTGACCTTTGACCTAGTGACCCCAAAATCAATAGGGGTCTTCTGCCCAATATGGACAATCATCCTATGAAGTTTGAATATTGTGGGTCAAATGGAACTTGAGTTATGCTCCAGAAACTGTTTTCAGTTGATAGGATATAGTGACCTTGACCTTTTGACCCCAAAATCAATAGGGGTCTTCTACCTAATATGGACAATCATCCTATGAAGTTTGAACACTGTGGACCAAATGGAACTTAAGTTATGCTCCGGAAACTGTTTCCAGTATCAATTTAATAGTGACCTTGACCATGTGACCCCAAAATCAATAGGGGTCTTCTGCCAAATATGGAAAATCATCCTATGAAGTTTGAACACTGTGGGTCAATTGGAACTTAAGTTATGCTCCGGAAACTGTTTCCAGTATCAATGTAATAGTGACCTTGACCTTTGACCTTGAGACCCCAAAATCAATAGGGGTCTTTTGCCCAATATGGACAATCATCCTATATGAAGTTTGAACACTGTGGGTCAAATGGAACTTAAGTTATGCTCTGGAAACTGTTTTCAGTTTTAAGGGTCATAGTGACCTTGACCTTTGACCTTTTGACCCCAAAAATCAATAGGGGTCTTCTACCTTATATGGACAATCATCCTATGAAGTTTGAAACACTTGTGGGTCAATTGGAACTTAAAGTTATGCTCCGGAAACTGTTTCCAGTATCAATGTAATAGTGACCTTGACCTTTGACCTTTTGACCCCAAAATCAATAGGGGTCTTTTACCCAATAATGGACAATCATTCCTATGAAGTTTGAACATTGTGGGTCATTTGGAACTTAAGTTATGCTCCGGAAACTGTTTTCAGTATCAAGGTCAAAGTGACCTTGAAACCTTTGACCTTTTGACCCCAAAATCAATAGGGGGTCTTCTTCCAAATATGGAAAATCATCCTATGAAGTTTGAACACTGTGGGTCAATTGGAACTTAAGTTATGCTCCGGAAACTGTTTCCAGTATCAATGTAATAGTGACCTTGACCTTTGACCTTTTGACCCCAAAATCAATAGGGGTCTTTTACCCAATATGGACAATCATCCTATGAAAGTTTGAACATTGTGGGTCATTTTGGAACTTAAGTTATGCTCCGGAAACTGTTTTCAGTATCAAGGTCAAAGTGACCTTGACCTTTGACCTTTTGACCCCAAAATCAATAGGGGTCTTCTACCTTATATGGACAATCATCCTATGAAGTTTGATCATTGTTGGTCGAATGGAACTTAAGTTATGCTCCGGAAACTGTTTTCAGTTTTAAGGTCATAGCGACCTTGACCTTTGACCTTTTGACCCCAAAATCAATAGGGGTCTTCTACCCAATATGGACAATCATCCTATGAAGTTTGAACATTGTGGGCCAAATGGAACTTAAGTTATGCTCCGGAAACCAAATTGCTAACGGACGGACGGACGGACGGACGGACAGACTGACGGACAGACAGACAGACAGACAGACGGACGCCAGGGGGTATAACATAATATGCCCTTTCGGGCATATAAAAATAGCAACAATTACGCAATTTCTAAAAATAGAAACAATGACGCAATTTCTATAAAAATCAACAATGACGCAATTTCTAAAAATAGCAACAATGACGCCATTTCTAAAAATAGCAACAATGACGCAATTTCTAAAAAATAGCAAACAATGACGCAATTTCTATAAAAATAGCAACAATGACGCAATTTCTATAAAAAGCAACAATGACGCCAATTTCTAAAAATAGCAACAATGACGCAATTTCTAAAAATAGCAACAATGACGCAATTTCTAAAAAATAGCAACAATGACGCAATTTCTATAAATAGCAACAATGACGCAATTTCTAAAAATAGCAACAATGACGCAATTTCTAAAAATAGCAACAATGACGCAATTTCTATAAATAGCAACAATGACGCAATTTCTATAAAAAGCAACAATGAAGCAATTTCTATAAATAGCAACAATGACACAATTTCTAAAAATAGCAACAATGACGCAATTTCTAAAATTAGAAACTATGACGCAATTTCAAAAAATAGAAACTATGACGCCATTTCTAAAAATAGCAACAATGACGCAATTTCTAAAAATAGAAACAATGACGCAATTTCTAAAAAAAGAAACTATCACGCAATTTCTAAAAATAATAACAATGACGCAATTTCTAAAAATAGAAACTATGACGCAATTTCTAAAAATAGCAAATATGACGCAATTTCTAAAAATAGAAACTATGACGCAATTTCTAAAAATAGCAACAATGACGCAATTTCTAAAAATAGCAACAATGACGCAATTCTATAAATAGAAACAATGAATAAATTGTTGTTGTTGTTGTTGTTGTAAATATATATATACACACACACACACACACACACACACACACACACACACACACCCCAATAAATATATAATTATGGTCATTTAATGCACAAATCTGAGAAAATTCAGTAATTTAACCTTCAAGATCAAGGTCATTAAAGAGCCCAAGCAAATTTGGGTTTGATAAACAACAAGGTCTTGTCCTTAAGAATGTTCTGTTATAATATGAAGTTGATCCCTTCAATAATAGCAAAGTTACAGTCAGTAACCGCCAAAACAATGAAAATTTCAATAATTTGACCTTCAAAGACAATGTCATTAATGAGTGAAGGTCAAGGTCTTTCGGTATATTTTTAACAATTATCTTTGAAGATTATTATGTTCAAGTTTCAAGACAATCCATTCAAAAATAACAAAGTTACAGCCAATAATAGCCGAAAAAATGAAAATTTCAATAATTTGACCTTCAAAGTCAAGGTCATTTATGAGTGAAGGTCAAGGTCTGTCTAGTTATTTTTAAGGGATATCCCTGAAGATAATTATGTTCAAGTTTGAAGACAATCCATTCAAAAATAACAGTTACAGCCAATAATAGCCAAAAAAATGAAAATTTCAATAATTTGACCTTCAAAGTCAAGGTCATTTATGAGTGAAGGTCAAGGTCTGTCTAGTTATTTTTAAGGGATATCCCTGAAGATAATTATGTTCAAGTTTGAAGACAATCCATTCAAAAATAACAGTTACAGCCAATAATAGCCAAAAAAATGAAAATTTCAATAATTTGACCTTCAAAGTCAAGGTCATTTATGAGTGAAGGTCAAGGTCTGGCGGATTATTTTTAAGGGATATCCTTGAAGATTATTATGTTCAAGTTTGAAGACAATCCATTCAAAAATAACAAAGTTACAGCCAATAACAGCATGAACAAGCAAAAATTGGACTTTTAACCTTGAAGGTCAAGGTCATTTATGGATGAAGGTCAAGGTTAGTGTGGTCTACTGAAAGGTCTTGTCCCAAGGGTTGTTGTGGCCAAGTATGAAGACAATACACCAAGAAATAAAAAAGTTATGATCCAGGTACAAGTTTGCGGACGGGAACGGCAACAGCGACCTGACTATAACAATACCTCTACTTTTTTTTTTCAAAAAAAAAAAAGTCGAGCTAAAAATGGTTAAAAGATTTTTAACAAAATACATCTTTTTAAACTATGGTACCCTGAAAAGAGTAAATTATACACTTTGCACTGTGCAGCCATTCAACTTCAGCACAGCCATTCAACTTCATGTTATTTCTGATATCACAAGTCATGTGGGATGGCCAACCTTTCATAGCATTGTGAAGTGATAATGGTTCTTAAACATAATAATGGAAGAAAATACCTGAAGACCATCTTTAAACCCTGATGAAAATCCTTTCACATATTTCTTTATGTGTGGAGTGAGGTAGGCATCGGCACAAGCTGTAAAACATATAAACATAAAACTGGCTTATCAACAAAGTAACATGAAACTGGTTCATCAACACAAAAGGTATTTATCAACCTCAAACAAGAGGGCCATTGGCCACAAAGTGCTCACCTGAGGACAGACTGTTATTTGTGTGAAAGCAGTGAAGCCAGTGTGTAAACGATGTTGGTGACTAGACCATACTTTATGCAAAATGCATTTTTCATTATACTATATATTTACATGGTCCTTATTTCAAAGCTGTACATCATCAAGAGCCGGTTGAACCAGGTGTTGCCCCCCCCAAAACAGGTTTTGGACACAGATAAATTACTTCTTGTTGATATCTCTTGTAGTTTCATAGTTATATCCCAGACAAAGTTCAAAGTGTAAAAATAACAAGAGCTGTCAGAGGAGACAGCAAAGCTTTACCAATAATATACTGGACACAGTAAGGAAGACAAAACTATGATTAAAGAACTAGAAATGTGTCCATAGGGTGCCCCCACCGCGCCACTGTTCTGTCAATCTTATGACTCTAGGTCAAATATTTTTTGAAAACTAAAAATCTTTTACTAATTAAAGGGCAAGAACTTTACAAATATTGAATAAATCCACAAGCAAACCCCAAGGTGCATAAGTACACATGCTGACCAACATTCTTGTAAACTTTCAGGCCTACAAGTGAAATACTTTTTGAGCTATGCATGAACAAGTTGAAAATTGCAAATTTATACTACTGTTAGTCAAGGGCAATAACTCTAACAAAACTGAAAAAAATCCACAGGCAAAGTCCCAAGGTTCATAGCTTCACAGTAATGTGAATTTAGTGATGTTGATCATTATTCCTGTAAAGTTGGTTGATTCTAACTCTGGCACTCAAGGAACAAATAACAACATAATGAAACGGTTTTTACTAAGTCAAGGGAAATAATACTGGATAAATCCACAAGCGAAACCCCAGGTGCAAAACTAAATATGCTGAGCAACATTCCCGTAAGGTTTAATGACTCTATCTCAAATCCTTTTTGAGTTACATGCGACACAAGTTGAAAATTGCAAAATTTTACTAAGTCAAAGGCAATAACTCTAAAAATACTAAATAAATCCAGACAAAAATACCCAGGTGCACAACTACACATGCTGATCAATATTTCTGTAAAGTTTCATGACTCTATGTCAAATCCTTTTTGAGTTACATGCGACACAAGTTGAAAAATGCAAAATTTTACTAAGTCAAGGGCAAAAACTCAAAAAATACTAGATAAATCCAGATGAAAACACCCAGGTGCACAACTTCACATGCTGATCAACATTCCTGTAAAGTTTCATGACTCTAGGTCAAATCCTTTTTGAGTTACATGCGACACAAGTTGAAAATTGCAAAATTTTACTAAGTCAAGGGCAATAACTCTAAAAATACTAAAAATATCCAGACGAAAATACCCAGGTGCACAACTACACATGCTGATCAACATTCCTGTAAAGTTTCATGACTCTAGGTCAAATCCTTTTTGAGTTACATGCGACACAAGTTGAAAATTGCAAAATTTTACTAAGTCAAGGGCAATAACTCTAAAAATATTAAAATTATCCAGACGAAAATACCCAGGTGCACAACTACACATGCTGATCAACATTCCTGTAAAGTTTAATGACTCTAGGTCAAATCCTTTTTGAGTTACATGCGACACAAGTTGAAAATTGCAAAATTTTACTAAGTCAAGGGCAATTACTCTAAAAATACTAAAATTATCCAGACGAAAATACCCAGGTGCACAACTACACATGCTGATCAACATTCCTGTAAAGTTTCATGACTCTAGGTCAAATACTTTTTGAGTTACGTGCGACACAAAAGTGAACGGGCCGACGGAAAGACGGACGGAAGGACGGACAAATGGACGGACGGAAAAGAGTAAATCTAAATGCCCTCCACTAAAGTGGGGGCACAAAAATAAATTATGTAAAATCATGTATTAAGTTATAGTAAAAATAAAATGGGTCAAAGACAGAAAAGGCCGGGTTGCATTTGTACACCAAATATCATGAGGCTGTGATGTTACGAAAAAAAATTTCCATTGACCCATAATGTCAAAAATTTAATTCAGTAGGTTAACAGGAAGTGGATTAGCTACACACCTAAAATCGAATCCCACAGTATGGGACCATGTGTCAATGCTGTATGCCAAATATCAAGAGGCTGTGATTAGTAGTTTCTGAGAAAAATGTTACGAAAATTTCCTACCATTGACCATTAATGTGAACAGGAAGTGGATGAGCTGCAGACTTGAAATCGAATCCCACAGTATGGGACCATGTGTCAATGCTGCATGCCAAATATCAAGAGGCTGTGATAAGTAGTTGCTGAGAAAACTGTTACAAAAATTTCCTACCATTGACCAATAATGTTTAAAAATCTAACTAATTTAACTAAGTGGATAAACAGGAAGTGGATGAGCAACAGACCTGAAATCAAATCCCACTGTATGGGACAATGTGTAAATGCTGTATGCCAAATATCAAGAGACTGTGATAAGTAGTTGCTGAGAAAACTGTTACGAAAATTTCCTAGCATTGACCATTAATGTCGAAAAATCTAACTAATTTAACTAAGTGGATAAACAGGAAGTGGAATGAGCGACAGACCTGAAATCAAATCCCACAGTATGGGACCATGTGTCAATGCTGTATGCCAAATATCAAGAGGCTGTGATAAGTAGTTGCTGAGAAAACTGTTACGAAAATTTCCTAGCATTGACCATTAAAGTCGAAAAATTTAACTAAGTATGTAAAACAGGAAGTGGATGAGTGACAGACCTGAAATCCAATACCATGATATGGGACCACATGTTTATGCTGTATACCAAATATCAAGACACTGTGATAAGTTGTACCTGAGAAAACTGTTACGAAAATTTCCTAGCATTGACCATTAAATTGAAAAATCTAACTAATTTAACTAAGTGGATAAACAGGAAGTGGATGAGCAACAGACCTGAAATCAAATCCCACAGTATGGGACCATGTGTCAATGCTGTATGCCAAATATCAAGAGGCTGTGATAAGTAGTTGCTGAGAAAACTGTTACGAAAATTTCCTACCATTGACCATTAATGTCAAAAAATCTAACTAATTTAACTAAGTGGATAAACACAAAGTGGATGAGCGACAGACCTGAAATCAAATCCCACAGTATGGGACCATGTGTCAATGCTGTATGCCAAATATCAAGAGGCTGTGATAAGTAGTTGCTGAGAAAACTGTTACGAAAATTTCCTACCATTGACCAATAATGTTTAAAAATCTAACTAATTTAACTAAGTGGATAAACAGGAAGTGGATGAGAGACAGACCTGAAATCCAATCCCACGGTATGGGACCATGTGTCAATGCTGTAGGCCAAATATCAAGAGGCTGTGATAAGTAGTTGCTGAGAAAACTGTTACGAAAATTTTCTAGCATTGACCATTAATGTAAAAAAATCTAACTAATTTAACTAAGTGGATAAACAGGAAGTGGATGAGCGACAGACCTGAAATCGAATCCCACGGTATGGGACCATGTGTCAATGCTGTTTGCCAAATATCAAGAGGCTGTGATAAGTAGTTGCTGAGAAAACTGTTACAAAAGTTTTTTTCCCCGCCCGCCCGCTGCCCGGACGCCCGCCCGCCCAACATTCACCATACTATAACCCGGGTTTGCACCAGTGCAACCCGGCCAAAAATGGGTCAAAGACAGAAAAGGCCGAGTTGCATTTGTATACCAAAGTTACCACTGCTAGACCATTAATGTCGAAAATTTAAGTCGGTAAACAAGAAGTGGATGAGCAACAAACCTGAAATAAATCCCAAGGTATGAACTACCTGTTAATGCTGTATGCCAAATATCAAGAGGCTGTGATAAGTAGTTGTTGAGAAAACTGTTACGAAAATTTCCTACCATTGACCATTAATGTCCAAAATTTAACTAAGTCAGTAAACAGGAAGTGGATGAGCAACAGACCTGAAATAGAATCCCACATTATGGGACCATGTGTCAATGCTGTATGCAAAATATGAAAAGGCTGTGATAAGTAGTTGCTGAGAAAACTGTTATGAAAATTTCCTACCAATGACCATTAATGTGGAAAATTTAACTAAGTCAGTAAAAGGAAGTGGATAAGCAACAGACCTGAAATCGAATCTCACAGTATGGGACCATGTGTCAATGCTGTATGCCAAATATCAAGAGGTTGTGATTAGTAGTTGCTGAGAAAAGTGTTACGAAAATTTCCTACCATTGACCATTAATGTCGAAAATTTAACTTATAAGTTGATTAACAGAAAGTGGATGGGCGACAGACATGAAATCCAATCCCACGGTATGGGACCATGTGTCAACGCTGTATGCCAAATATCAAGAAGCTGTCATAAGTAGTTGCTGAGAAAACTGTTAGGAAAAGTTTTTCCCCACCCAGCGCCTGACATTCACCATACCCCGGTTTGCACCAGTGCAACCCAGCCAAAAATAACTTTTCTAAACATAAATTCCAAGTTCAAGGGGGAATAATTCTGGAAATAGCAAGCTAAATTATGAACCTTGTCACACAACATATGTGTAATAATAAGAAATATATATTTGAAATTTGAAGTAGATACCTTAAAAAGTAATGAAGTTATAATATTTCTTAAAGAAAATCCTAAGTTAAAAGAGAGATAAATCTGAAAATATTGCTTCATGCATTACATGTATGAACCTTGTCACATAACATGTAATTGATGATAAGGACTAAGTTTTTGAAGTTTGAGGTAGATACCTTTAAAACTAAAGAACTTACAGCAAAATAACATTTTTCAAGTAAAAAATCTAAGTTTACGGGGAGATAATTCTTGCAATATTGGTGCTAGAGTTATGAACCTTGTCACATAACATGTGGTTAATAATAAGGAACATATATTTGAAGTATGAAGTCAATCGTTAAGAAATAAAAAAGTAACAGTAAACAAGTTTGCATTTGAGAAAAATGCTATGC